CTTGGCAGCCCCCCCCCAAACACTTCCAGCCAATCAGAAGCTCGGGAGCTCTGACATCATCAGTCACCAGGCAGTCATCCAGGCAGCGAGTCCAGCTCTGGACATTGCTTGCAGCAGCAGTGGCAGCGGGCCAGCACCCATGGGTGCCTCCACCTCGTCGGGCAGCAGAGGCAGCTGGTGGCTCCCTGGGGCACCCCTGCACCCCACCCGTGCCCCGTTCACCCCCGTGGGGCAGGATCTGGCCCGAGGAGGCCTCAGCAGTGGGGCAGGCGGCCGCTTGGTGCTTGGCTTTGCCTTCCCTTGGCATCCAAGTGCAATGGCAGCACTGCGACCCACCTGCCCGGCCTGCCTGCGTGCTGCCTGTGCGCTCGGGGTGCCCTGCACCTTCGCTTTTTGCACAAAATTTTAAAAATTAAGTGCAGTCCGGCATCCCATGGGATATGTCCTCCATCTCCCGGGACCAGTGAGGCTTCAAGTGGCTTCATCATCCTGCAAAAGGCAATGCCCAGAGAGATGCCATGCCCCAAAAATCCCCTGGCGGCACCCTGCGTGCAGCCCCCGTCTGCCCACGTGCTGCTCGGGTGCCCTCCCGGCCCCCCTCCCCGCCCCCGCCATGGGTTTCGGTTCCCCCGGTGCGGAGGAGTGACCTTCACGCTGAGATTTCACTTCTGCACGCCACGATGGGGGAATTTGCATTTGTCTGGCTGCAAACCCCCTGGGAGGGGGGTGTTTGGGGCGGGGCAGGGGGGGGACGTGGGCTGCAGGAGGGGTTTTTGGGGTGGGGGAGTGATGGCAGGGTGTGAGGGCGGCTCCTCCAGCCGGCGGCCGGGGCTGAGCTCCCTCTCCGTGTCCCGCAGGTCTGCGTTGGGCCGCAAAGCCGCCCTCTCCACGCTCTCCATCCTGGTGGCCCTGCTGATCGCCGGCCAGGCCGTCACCGTCTACTTCGTCTACCAGCAGAGCGGGCAGATCAGCAAGCTGACCAAAACCTCCCAGACCCTGCAGCTGGAGGCACTGCAGAGGAAGCTGCCCGCCAGTCAGTAGCCCCACGGGCACCAGTGTGGTGGTGGGGGTGGCCAGGGAGAGGGGATGGGTCTCCCCAGACCACCCAGCCCGGCACCCCTCACACCACTCCATCCTCGGCAGGTGCCAAGCCGGTGAGCAAGATGAAGATGGCCATGGTGAACACGCCCCTGGCCATGAGGGTCCTGCCTCTCGCCCCCTCTGCAGGCAGCATGGTAAGAGATGCCCGCTCCTGCCTGGCGCTGCCCGCTGCCCTCGGGGCTTGCTGCCAGCCCTCGCGCTCACGCTGCTCCTTTGCCTTTTCTTTTAAGGACACGGCCCCTGCTAGCAACAAAACCGAGGACCAAGTGAAGCACCTGCTGCTGGTAAGGTCCCCCGCTACCCCACTGGCCCCATCACTGGCCCCTGCGCTGCAGGAGGCGATGGGACCCTCTGCTTCCAGCTTCAGGCTGTCTCTTGGCTGGGTCTGGGGTCCCTTGGGGTGCTCAGAGCTGGTGCCAGAGCTCCTGCAATGGCTGGCTGGCCGATGTAAGCAAAGCTTCACCCCCCCACCTCGTTTTTCATTGCCCTGTCTCACCGTGGTGGTCGCTCTGCAGCAAGCAGACCCCAGGAAGATGTTCCCGGAGCTGAAGAACAACCTGATGGACAACCTGAAGAGCCTGAAGAACACCATGACCGATGCGGACTGGAAGGTCAGTGCTTGCTGCTGTCCTACTCTTCCCCTTCCAGGCGCGCCCCGCTTTGGGGAGGAACTGGGGTGTCCCCACCTGGAAAAACAAAGCCCTGCTTGAGCCAGGCTTGGGTTACCTCCACCCCAAGGGAGGTGGTGGTGCTCACGACCTTCCCCGGCCCAGGCTGGAGCTTCCTCCCCCCACGGTGCACCCTCCCGGCCCGGTTAACGCGCCGGTTCCCCTTGTTGCAGTCCTTTGAATCCTGGATGCACAAGTGGCTGCTGTTTGAAATGGCCAAGAGCCCCAAGACGGAGGAGCGCAAGGCGATCCCAGCGGTGAAAGGTATCGGGGCTGGGGGCTGCTGAGCTGGGGAGGGTCGGGACTGGCCCTTCAGGAGCAACCCCAGGAGGTGCCAGCATGGGGCATCCCAAAGGCAACCGGCCCCTGTCCAATCGGTCCGAACCAATCCCTTCATCCCATGGGGAGCCTTTGGTTGGGGGCCTTTAGGACACCACAGAGCCACTGCCCCCGGCCTGCGGGGCATTTGGGATGAGCAAATGTCTGACAAGCCGGAGCACCACACCAAACCCTCAGTCCTTGTCTAGCCTAAGAGCTTTAGAAAGGTCACCGGGGTGGGGCTGGTTCTTCTTTTATATTTAATTTAGCTGCTTCTGGATAAAACGCTCCCGCCGAGGCTGCCGGGCGGCAGAAGGGCTCACGGTGTCTCCCATTTGTTTTTATTGCCCTAGTGCAAACTAAGTGCCAGGCGGAGGCCAGTTCTGGGGGTGTCCGGCCGGGTCGCTTCCGCCCGCAGTGCGATGTGAACGGCGACTACCTGCCCAAGCAGTGCAATGCCTCCACGGGCTACTGCTGGTGCTCCCACAAAAATGGCACCAGGATTGAGGGCACTGCCACTCGGGAAAAGCTGGACTGCCCTGGTAGGTCACCAGGGAGGGGATGGAGGAGAGGAACGAGCAGCATGCATGGATGCTTGTGATTAGGGAGGAGAAGAGCAGCCAGGGAGAGGAGGGTGCCCAAGCTGTAGAGAGCGTCCCTCACCCTTCGGTGCCAGCATGCCAAGGCTCGAGGGGACCCTAAAAACCACAGCCCCCCCCCCGGCTAGCTGCAGCGATAGAGGCATGCATCAAGGCTTTCCACAAGCCCCCCCTTGCCCCCAAACCCATGACAGCCTCCACCTCGGAGGGGTGGGGGCAATGGGGCAGCCCCAGGGCTCCAGCACCCAGCTCCTGCCCTCCCTCTGCAGATGCCGCTTCTGCCACCACTGCGGAGCCAGAGGAGATGATCTTCTCCGGGGTGGACATGCTCAAGCTGGGTGCGGAGAAAGGTGAGGGCTGAGCGTGGTCAGGGGGCTGGGGGTGTTGGGGAAAGCTCCTGGGGCTGGGGGAGGCACAGGTTCACCCCCCCCAAAAAGGCACAAAAGCACTGCTGGGGTGGCAGAGGTTGCGATGGAGACCCAGGCAAAAGCAGCCTGGGCTTTGGGAAGTCCTGGAGCCATCTTACTGACTCCCTCCTCTCTTTCCCCCACAACAGCCAAGTAGAAGAGGACGCAAGCAGCTGCCTGTCCCCTCTTCAGCATCCAAGCTCCCACGTTTTGGGTTGTTTGGTTTTTTTTTTTTGCTCTTATTTCATTTCTGCTCTCACGTTGCTTTCCTGAAACGATTAACAGTGGGCACCCCTGTGCGCTCCTGCCCCTCGAGGCACCGGTTGTCACCCTTCCCCTGCTGCAGGGCACCAGATGGGGCTGCAGCTGCCACCGGGATCAGTGCTGGAGCCGAAGCGTTGCCGTGGAGGGTGGGTAAAGCAGGCTGGGAAGTGATTTCAACGATGCCAGACCCATAAATCCTGTTCCCTTTTGCTCAGTGGCACCCAGGCAGCAGCAGGCGCAGAGCTCACCCCTGCTGAAGAACGAGCCATTAACGCTTTCTTACACTGAACAAACATTAAAAGCAGCAAAACCTCCACCAGCTTCTTAACTGACCCCCGTAGGCTGAAGCCCTGTTAAATTACTGGAATTAGGATTTTTCTTACTGGATTAGGGTTTTTCTTGTGGAGTGCTCAGTTTGGTAGAGATAGATGCTCACCTTCAGCTTTTGCCTTCAGGCTGGGGAAGAGCCGCAGCCGTGGGTAAGAGCGGGCAGAGGAGCTGACCCTGGAGTCAGAGGGGCTTCTAACTTCTCTGAGTATCTGATAGTTCCTTTACAAATGACCTCACAAGCTAATATTCCAAATAAACTTTTGAACACGAAAGCCTTGTAAGCAACTCTAGCAGGGCAGCGCTTGCAAACAGTTTGCAGCTGTCCTAGCTTAAAAATAAATGAATCTTAAGAAAAAAGGGAAAAAGAAAAATCTCTGCAAAGACACTTGAACATCTCTGCCCCCACCCCGGCTCACACATATTCCATGCCACATTCCTGGCCCATCACTTGCTCCATCTCCCCTGCGCCCTGGGGTCCCCCCTGCACCCCCCAGGGAGACTGAAATCCCCTTTAAGTGAGTCGCAGCGCGGGGGGACAGGAGGAGAGCGGCCTGGTGCGAGGGTGGCAGCCGGAGAGCTCTGCCCTCGCCAGCAGAGCCGGCAGCCGGCCTGCACGGCAGCCGCACAGCACGGGAGGGAGCAGCACAAGGGGATCCGGTCCCTTTTTCCTCACCTGCTAAATGCCAGGGCTGGGAGCGAAGCGAGGAAAGCAGGCGTGAGGCGAGGCAGGAGGCCAGGTCCCCATAGGGCAATGCACAAACCTGCTCTCAGCACCTGCCCCTGCACAGCATTTTAGTAATGGAAAAAATACAAACCAATGCTAGAACACAGTTCACAGCTGAGGAGCAACAGCGTCTGCTCTTCCTCGGGGAGCTGGCACAAAGCAATTAGTTTTTGCCCAGGGGCTGAAGCCGTGCCTCTGAGCCTGGGTGGAAGGTGGGCTCTGCCCCCCGACCCGCACCGTCCTCCAGAGACAGCCGACCACCGCCCCGGGCTCAGCCCCAGCGCCCGCCCTGCCTCCCTGGCCTGGGTTTGGTCCCTGAACCAAAGGGCTTCTCACCTTCCTTCCTCCCTTGAAAGCAGCTGAAGCAAAATCTCACCGTTCTTTTCTTTTTTTAATTTTGTATTCCATAAAAAAAAACCCACAAAAAATTACACCGCCTTGGCCGAGAACAGTTGCTGGACACAGCTGTTCAGTGCAACTCCAGGGACACGATCATCACTGCCGTCAGTGTTAGAATAAAAAGTAAACCCAAGAGCTCTCTTCCATAGTAGCAAAAGGACTGACACCACAAATCACAGAAGAGGGAAGGGGGGAAAAAAAAAAAAAAGTAAAAGTTTCAGTTTCTCTTAAAAATATAGCTCTGTGATGAGAAAGAGATGGCTGGGTGTCAACTAGGAGGAAAGCAGTTTATGCAAGCTGGCTCTTCTCTGGTCAAACTGCCTCCTTCAGTTCAGTTCTTGTGCAACAGGCGAGCCGTGGGGAGGGGCGATAAACACGTCTCTGGGCCCCAGTGGAGCAGGAGGAGGCAGAAAGTTACACTGCTCTAAAAGTCACAGTTAAAAGAAGTTATAAATTATTATTTAAAAAAAAGTTGGAATTCTCCTGATGAGCTTCCTTTTCCTCTCTTCTGTTTGATCTTCACCCATAAATCCTTAATCACAGGGATGCGGTACCTTTGGGGAGAGGAGTTAAAAGAGTTAGGGATGGGGAGGAGGAGAGCGGCCTTACAGCTGAGCAGAGTGATCTGGTCGACTTCCAGGTGGCTACACCACCACCATCTAATCCACATTACTTTTCCAAGCTCCCTGTGGTCAGCAGGGACAGACAGACACTGCCAGAGGCCGCTTATCTCTGCTGATGACAGAGGACAGAAACATCCAGGCTGGACATCCAGTTCTCAGCAGCTAAAGAGTTGAGGTCAAACACATCCAGAGAAGCCAGCACACTGCTGCGTGACTTTCCTCACACCGCTCCGCTCCCTGGCCCTCTAAGCTAAGGCCAGGCTGACTCAGTGAGCTTTTAGAGGGCACATCGTCTTCCCAAGACCGGCCCGGGAGTACTGAATTTGGCCAAGGTTACCACCATTCAGAGGTACCAACTGATAGTCCCCACAGGCCATGTACCTTCTCACAATCCTTCAGGCTCAGCTGTTTTCTTCTTCTAAAAAGAAAAGGGTGAAAAATAAATCAGTATCATCTGCACCACAAACACGAAGGACCCAGCAGAGCCACAAGCCACAGAGGCTTCTTGGCAGCCATCTCTACAGGGACATATCCGTTACAAGGAACATCCTATAGTCTCCCTCTGCCCCCCTTCCCAGCCCGTGGGATGGGATGCGGTAGCCTGCCAAGCCCTCAGGAGCTCCAGTTTCTGCTGAAAACAACTAGATGAACAGAGAGCTGAAGAAGAGCACTTACTCCTTGGCAGCTTCTCTGCCACCAAAAGGGTTCCTGGGTCTGACCCTTCCAGGGAAAGGGATCTCTCCCACGGGAGCGATACAGGAACAAGCCCTTCTTCGAGCCACCCCAACCCCAACCAGCCAAAGGTCAGGGTGTCTCAAGACAGCCACAATTAACTGCAGCCTCCTCTGTATTGCCAGCAAGGCTGGGACACGGCTCTGTTCCTCTCCAGCCTGGCATGTGGCAGGGACAAGCACCGCAACCATGGCTCAGGACAGGCCGCCCCATGGTACCCCATCCCAGGGTCTTGCACATACCTTCTTCTTCTTCTTGTGAACCTCAGCAGAGCCATCTGCTATAGGCTCCCCTTCTGAAGACACCTTTTTGCTCTTCTTCTTTTCTTTTCCAGCCTTTTTTTCTGGGAGAGGGAAAGAAAAGTCAACTAAGGGAGGGATTCTGGTATTGCTTGCTTCTGAGATGGAGCACGGAGTGGTAGGGGCATCTCCAGTAAGTTTTTGATCACATCCGAACCTGAGGAAGCTTTCCAGAGCAGTAACTGGGTGAGGGCAGAGCCCTGCTACAAGGCAGCTGCGCCCAGGGCTGCTCCTCCAGTCCCTCTGAGCCAGAGCGGTTTGATCCCGCCATCCATGCACATGTGTGGGCAAAATTACATAGGATCCCCTTCTTTCCACCTCCTGCTGCCCACCCACTCTGAGGAACGGCTTCAGTGCTGGAGCAGCTGGGCATATGCCAGAAATCAGAGCAAATGGAGCCACCAACACTGGATGGACACAAGGTTTGGCTCAGCACGACCGCTCCAAGAGGCTCCAGCTCATTCCTGTGCACGCATAAGGGCTGACACGTCTGTCTCCTCCAAAATGAAGGACTGCATCTCTGCCGAACAGAAACCCCGGCAGATCTGGCCCACCCATTCCATCTCTTTTGGTTTTTTTTTTTTGTTTGTTTGTTTTGTTTTTTTTTTAAAAAAGTCTACAAGATCCAGCACAGAACCAGCTGTAATTTGCAAATGCAGTCTGCACTGTAAAGAAAAAAAATTGCCTTTGCATAAGGGGAGCAAACAGAGCATTACGGAGAGGCGTGCAGACAAGAGGGGCAGGAAACACTCTTAATTGGGAGCAATGAGCAGGAGGCTGGTACCATCCTCCTCTTTCTCTGGGGGTCTGAAAGCAGCAGTAACAGCCCCGTGTCAAATCTCTCGAATGAGCTGCTCACCATGGTGCAGCAGACACTGATCAGGCAGGGTCAGGAAGGGGCACTGTCGCCCCACGGGGAACAGCAGCGGCTGACATGGCAGATGACAGCGCAGATTTCAAGGCTGATCTCTTTTAAAGAGGCTGCCAGCAAGGGGCCGCGTTCGGGAAGCTCTGACTAACACAAAGCCCTGCACGTGTGCACGCTGCGCTTCCTCTGCCGTGCCCACAGCATGTCAGGAGCCTTCTGCCTGCCCTCCCCAGCCACGCTGCACCTTAGCTCTCCGCTAGCACGTGTTGTGTCTGCCACAGAGGAGCCAGGGCAGCCGGCTGGGTTAGCAGAGCTGTTCTGCACCGCAGACACAGCGCAGGGCGCCACGCGAAGCGCGGCGGGCAGAACACAGGCCTCGTGGCTTACAATTAGAGAGAACTCTCCCGAGCCCAGCGCAGGCAGGCAGGCCACGCGAGGGGTGCAAAGAGGCCTCAGGAGGGTCAACGCAGACTCGTGTCAACCCTCTGCCAGCCCTCAGCCACAGCTGCTTCCAGCCAGGATAAAGGCCAGGAAAGGAGAAAGCCCTGGAGGGGCAGATCATGCCACAGAAGATGCACGGGGACATCACCTTGCTCTGCAAGCAGCAAGGATCAGCACGATTATTAACACAGTTCCGACTGTGCCGGGCGCAGGACAGAGGGGCGGGAGAGGCCAGCTTGCTGTCTGCAACACGACCTGGTGCCGAGACTGCAGAAAACCACTGAAATGGGGTGTTAAAAATCCGGCACTGGCTTTGGGTGGGCCAAGAGGGAAGCAGCCAAGCAGGAAGCTAACGGGAAAGCGGGTGCTACTTACAAGGCCCCGCAGCAGAGGCTGAATGTGCGTCAGCTGCAAGAACCCATTGCAAATGCAGCCCCAAGTGAGGGATGCTTACTTTTAGCCGATTTTTTCTTTTCCTTGCTGCCTGGCAACTTCTCCAGGTCACTAGCTGCTTTCTTCTTTTTCTTTTTGGGTACTTCTTCGTTAGCTTGCCCTTTCCGCTTCTTCTCCTTGGGCTGCCCAACAGCCCCATCCTCTCCCGGCAGTTTCCGCTTCTGAGATGTTTTCTGCTTCTTATTCTCTTTGTCTTTGCTCTTAGATGTCTTCCCAGCCTTGTCTGCCGTGGAGGAAGATTTCTTCTTTTCCTTCTTTTCTTTTTTCTCCTTTTTCTTCTTCTTCTTCTTCTCTTCCAACCCTTCCAGTGTTTGCACTGCAGGAACTTTGGCAGCAGTGGTGACCTCGGTTTCACTCCCTGAGCTTGTCTCCTCTGATTGTGGGATGGAGAACAGTGCATATGATGCTGGGGTCACCTGTGCCCCTTTTGCCCCAATGTCATTCTCTTTCACGGCCAGGGCTTTCTTGACTGGGGAAGGTTTGAGGCTGGCATGACCTGGCTCTGTTTTTCCTGCCACCTTCTCTTTGTTGGAGGCTCCTGTGGCTTCCTGCCCTGGAGGGGGGTTGTTTTCTGCAGAAACAATGACAAGAGAGAGAAGACAACTCAGGGAGCGTTCATTATACAGATCACAGAGTTACTGGAGGATGGAAATATGCTTGAGCTTGAAGAGGAGCATCCAGTTCTCCCTCAAAAGCAAAGCCTGCTGGCCATCCCAACTAGAGCAGAGCCAGAGAAAGATGCCTCGGCTTGAGATCAAGTATCTGGCGAGGGAAGTGGGTTACAACAGCCACAACAGCTTTATCTACATCGATGAAGAACAGGGACTAGACTAGAGGAAACTGTAGCGCAAGACAGGTGAGCATAGAGAGAGCAGTCCTTCCCCAGGACACCACCCCCAGTAAGCCAGGCACTTCCCAAGGTGGAGGGAGTATCCAGGCCACCACGTTTAGCCATTACCAATGGCCTATCCCCCAGCACCTGGGCCTTCATGAACCTATAAACAGTTCCGACCTCCTCAACAGCCCTTTGCACAACTTAACGATGTGCCCAAGAAGCCAACAGACCCATTTGAACCTCTAGAGTGGGCCAGAGCTCACAGCCGGGCCAGAGCTCACAGCCAGACCAGAGCTCATCTCAAGGTGCTGGAAGCAGCTTCCAGCTTCGAGTTTTACAATTTGCCAACAAACCAGGGCGATAGGGAAATGGGAGGACATCTTGTTTCTCCATAGGTCTTCCCACTTGTTTCCCCTCCTCTGCCCTCCAGACATGCTACAGTGCCCAGAAAAATGAAGAGGAGGCTTGAATACCAGCACTGTATAGCAAACGTTCTTCAGCCAGTGTTTAAACGTTCCCTAGGAGCCATCACTACCGCAGCACACCAATGCAGTGGGCATAGGTTTTAGGGAGAGCCCTACCTACTCCCATTAATTGCATTAATTATTGCAGTTAAAGCTGAACTTGGAAGAGGCAAAGGCACAGAGCCTCAGAAGCCAGCCAGCGCAGGAGAGGTGTTCAAGAAGAGGGCTGTGTCGTGGCCAGGGGAAGCCAGCAGACGGCAGCAGCACTCTACGCTAGCAGGCTCTGCAGCGGAGACACGCTGGGAACAGGGCCCTGTCCCAGTGTCACCCTCCCGTGCCAGCACGGCTTTGCTCCTGGGCCAAGCAGATTCCCGGCCTTGCCAAAGGAGACCCACCTGCTTTGTGGTTTGCAGCCACCTGGTCAATGTCTGTGTCGGAGTCACTGCTGTCACTGCTGGAGCTATCAGCTGGGGCTGCCTTCACAGAGGCCTTGGCGAGGGAGTCTGGAGCAGTCACGGCTGCTTTCCCTTGCCCCGCTTTGCCTACAGGCTCGGGGGGAACCGTCTTTGGTGCCTGGGGTGCTGCTGGGGTCCTGGAGAGGCCCAGATAGCCTGTGAGGAGGGACTGGAACAGCACAGAGGAGTCACAGCAGGGCAGCCTCCCACACACCAGACACAGATCTGTCTCTGCTGCTATTGCCCCCGTACTCCAAACGAAGGGTCTACCTTTGGCCACCCACAGAGTGATCCTGTGCTGCTCAGCCAGCCCTGCAGAGAGGCCAGGGCTGCCAGGAGAGGGGGCCGGCACTGACAGACACTGGCTGAGCTTACAACAGCAAGAGCTGATGGTGAGAGGGTCTCCTCTTTGTTCTCACCCAGTAAAGCAGGCTTGGGGGAGGCTCCTGGCCATTAGCATGCACCCACGCACAGCTAATGCACTGCAGATGTACTGCACGCCTTGCACGTTACTTACAAAGGGAATTTAATGGCTTGGACAGGGGTTAAGTTACAAATAAAAGTGGGGGAAAAAAATCCTGCTGCTGTTGGCACTGTGCATCAGTTCTCCTAGTTTAACCCTTGCAAGGCACCACCTCCCATGCCTTCCCCTAGGGAAGGTACCATGAGCCCTGGACCCAAGGCCTGGCTGCTTGAGGAAGCATTCCAGGTTCAAAAGCCTCTCTCTGCCCCCACCAAAAGGCCCCGCTCACAGCACCGCACTGGGCAGCCCCCACTTCTGTGCTGACAAACCCACTCAGCATCCCATTTGCTACGGCTGAGAATTCAACGCTCTCTCCATCCTACTTAGGAGCCCATTGCAAGACCCGAGAGGATCCCAGCCTGCTCAGGTACCATACCTGCGATGCTGCCTCCTCCTCCTCCTCACTGGACTCTGAGGAGGAGCTGTGGGCTGGCTGGGTCCCTCCTGGTTTCTGCAGCGAGCCTGCTGGAGGAGCAGAGTTCATCCCATTAAACCCACCACTGCTGCCCAGGGTGGAGCTCACCTACCCAGCACAGTTACTGCCACCAAAAAGCCTTCTGCCTCCAAAGAAAGGGGAGTGCTCAAGCTGCCAAGCTGGAGAGGAGGCACCCCTCTCCAACCAAGCTGGAGAGGAGGCACCCCTCTCCAACCAAGCTGGAGAGGAGGCACCCCTCTCCAACCACTACGTGAAGGTGACACACCTCCCACAGGGTAACAAAACGCTGTTCCCACCCTGGCCAGCAGCACTGACAGCATCTTCTCGGGAGAACTGACCAGGTTTGGGGAGCTGCTTGGGTGCCTCCTCCTCCTCGTCACTGTCTGAGGAACTGCTACTGTCCGAGGTCTCCTCTGCCTGGGCAGGTGGCGCGGCCTGGCTCAGCCGAGCGTCCTGCGCTGGCTGCAGGCTTGGCTTCCTCGACTTGGCAGTGGGACTTCCCAGGAGCGAAGCAGCCTGCGGGGCAGCAGTGTTGGCTGGAGAAGCTTTTCCCACAGGAACTGTTTGCTTCAGGCAAGGAGGAGTGGGGTCCTAGGGAGAGAAAGACAAAATGCATCTGGAAGGAGGAATAACTGCTCATGTCCATGAACTATAAGAAGCAGCCCAGAGCAGATGGGCTTGGACCACCTCGGCCCTTCTTCAGCTGTACTGCTCCCGTTCGTGTCAAGGTTAGCCCAAGAACCTCTCACGTAGGGTGCAGAGACCCCCATCTCCCCCCGGCCCACAGATGAAGCAGGCAGCTGTGGCCAAGCAGACAACTCCTGACTGTACCGGACACTGCAATCACAAAAGAAGGACGAAACCTGCCAGCCATCGTGGAGGCAGGAACAGCAAAGGTACCAGGCCTGCCCTCTGCTCATCTCCCTCACCTTATGGTGTGATAACAGTGGTTAAAATAGAGCAGCCCCCCTCACCCCGCCCTCCACGAACACGCTCCCTCAGCTGGGGACACAGCACCAGCCTCAGGCTCCAGCACACCCATCTGACCGCTCTCCCCAGGGAAGCTCCCCACTCCAGTCTCCTCCGTCATTACCTCTCCTGCCAGCACGTCCTGCTCCGAGGAATCGCTACTCGAGCTCTCAGACACTCTGCTAACTGGAGGGACAGCAGGCGCTTTTATCCCCTTCCCCAAAGGCAGCGTGGCATTAGCCTTGACAGCCGCTGCGCTCGAAACCTTGGTTCCTTTGACGTTCTGCTGGGACAGACTCTAAAATAGATGAGACAGAAAATCAGGACAGAGCACAACTTGGAGGGAAAAGAAGCATGCACCAATCCACCACTAACTCCTGAGCCCTTCCATTATTTTCAGCACAGTACCAAGGCTCATATTTATTTTTTTTTTCCCCTTTACAGGCCAGCTCTGTCTCCTACGAGCCTCTGAGCAGGGCCTCTGGCACAGCCAGGAGCAGAGAAGTGAGGGCCAGCACCCCAGGAGTGCCTAAAGCATTAGCTCAGTGCCCCAAAGGCACCCATCCTGAGGGCAGGCAGGCAAAATGTGATGTGCTTGCAGGCTGTGAGATCCCTACCCACTGCAGCACCAGCAAGACTGCAGTTGCAAACCCTACTTCGCAAAGCTGGCTCTTGGACTCCAGGATGTCTCCTACAGTCTAAAAATCACACATCAAGAGTTAATTGGCAACAGAGATAAAACAAAGACACCAGCCACAGGGCAAATCTGCCTTCAGGTCCACAAGCAAGCCACAGATTAGAAACCAGATTAACAAGAAGCAGTTTTGTTGCCTCACATTTGAAACCTCTCATCAAACTAAACCCAAGAGGGGTTAAAAATAGAAGAGCCAGGGGCATGGAAATCAGACACTGACATCAGGTCCAAGACACAAATGCCAGCATAGGAGGGAGCAGGAGCGACGAAGGAGTGCTCAGCCTCCTGGTTTGTGTTACAAACAAGGCTACGTGAGCAGCCCTCTCTCTCCAGATCTCTGACAAGCTGGGCCTTTGTGGGCTGACATTTCCCTCACACAACATCTGGCCTTCAGAAAGCAAGGCAACGCTCCATCATGCAGAGAGCCGCCAATCCGACGTGAGCTCTCAGCCGTCTTGCACCAAGCTCAAGTTACAGGGACTGCGTTATTTTATACAATCTTGGTACTATAAACACGCTTTAATCAAGGACAGCTCAGGCTGGCTGCTGGCCCACCAAGCAAGGGGGGGAACAGCCTTTCCACTGGCCACAGCATCAGGCCAACATGGGGAAGGGTTTCCTTGAGTGCACATAATCCCCCTCTCCCAGCAAGGGCACTGGCCAGACAGAGGTGCATACATGACGGACAAGAAGCACACTTGGCCACTAAGCCCTGGGCTCAGAGCACCAGCCAAGCCACCACCACGTAGGAACAGCAGCCATGTTCCTCAGTCAAGGCTGGTGGTTTCTTTCTTGGGCTCAAACTGCAGCAGAGGTGCAGAGACACCCGAGGCAGCTCAGGCCCCAGGGAGCTCAGCCATGGCCCTGCGGGACTGGCGTGGAGACACAAAGAGACTCAGGTGAGAGAGCTGGGATCGGCTCCTCGACACTCGGCCATGTCTCTGCAGAGATATGGGGGTCACCTCCCTTCTCCAAGGCAGGGGTCTGGCTCCTCCAGCTGAAAGGCAGCAGGACCACTGTGCTACCCTTCAGGGCGGATCCTTCCAGCCTCCCGAAGCTTGTGGAGGGGGAGTCCAGAGAGCTCCAGCTGCACCCCACACCCAGGGGTTTGGGAAGAAACAGGGGGACGGGTTGCCTTGGAGTTACACAGCTCATGGAAAGACTCTGCCTGCAAGGATTTGGCTGCTTTTCCAGTCTAACTCCCTGGAGTAGGGCAAAGGAGACAGAGTCCCAAAGGAGGTCTGGGCTCGTGCGTCTACTCATGTTTCTGCCAAAACATTCACACCCTCCACGACTCTCACACAGTGCAAGCTTGCTCCGGCTGAGACATGCACCCAGAGCCAGGGTCAGCGGGACCCAGGGATGCTGCCAAGAAAAACAGACCCAGCCAACAGGAGGGCTTCTCTCCGCACTGCTCATCAGCCACCCAACTACCACCTTGCAAGTCCTGAGACCTCCGGAGCGTGCAGGACTAACAGTGTCCATGCTCATCGGGTCAGCAGCTCCTTACCTGCGAAGGTGGGACTATTTCTTCCTCTGAATCCGATGTCTCGCTGGAATCATCGCTGCTGTCCACGGGTGGAGGGGCTGGCACTGGTGCTGGAGCCAGTGCCTTCTTCGCGTTTGTTGGCTGGGGGACAACATTGTTTTTCACTGCAGGAAAAGCATAAGAGATTGTCACCATGAGAAAGAATTGCTCTCCGTGGCTCTCCAGAGCAGGATCTATCACAACAGGCTGGGCTGTTCCATGTGCAAGGGAGAAAAGGAAGCCCATGAGGCCAGGAGGGATCCTGGCCACTACCAGGAGACTTACCAGCTTGCAGAGGCTGTGTCTGTGCTGCAGGGGACTCCTCTTCGCTGTCAGACGAGTCACTGCTCCCACTTTCTGAGGCCTGGTTCTTCAAGGTGCTTCCCACTGCTTTGTCAGGCAACCCAGCCTTAGCAGCCTGGCTCAGGTTGGGAACAGGCCCAGGCTGTTCTGTTAACCTCTTAACAAAAAAGAAACACAGGCCCAGAAATATGGTATTAGTACAGGTGTTGTTTAGGAGTTGAAGTGCAGTTTCAGCTCAAGCTGGGTTTTGTTTTACCCTAACACAGCTGCTACTAACACTCATTCCGTCCTTGGCGTGTCAAGATTGGAAAGGGCTTCAGTTACTGCCTGGACTGAGCTGCTGTAGAGACATACATTTAGCAATATGCTTCTGACAGGAAGCCCAAGCGTGTTTTACCACACGAGCATGCAGGGCCAACAAGGTCAGAACAGCAATTCCTTCTTGAGGCTGAGACACTGGCTGGACAGGAGAAGCACTGCAGCCCCGAGACCCCCATTCCAAGGAAGGCTCTCACTGAAGCACGATCTCCCCCCAGCTTGGGGAATCAGTAGGAGCTGGGAAGCCTTGTGCCAAAACACTTGCAAGATTCAGAGACAGTATCAGAGCAGATACATCCTAGAGCTGCTGGAGTGTAGACACAGGGCTGACATAAGCATTTGGGAACACAGAGGGCAGGCAGAGACAGACCGGGACCCAAGATATGATTGAGCACCTTGGAAACTGATCTGTCAACAGGTCTAAGAATCTAGAAATCTCCAGAAAACAAAAAAACCCTGCAACTCACTTGGGCTGTGCCTTTCTACAGCACCCATCAACACTCTTACATCCCAGGACAGGCCACGAGCCACTGCCCCAAGCAACTAGTGTGTCAGCACTAGGAAGCCACAGTTATCACAGCACCAGATACACAAATGCCAGGCGAGAGGATCTCTTCCCAGCCCCTCTCCTGGCTCAGGCCGAGGGCTGCAGACACCCCTCCTGCACACTGCTGAAGGCTAACGGTGGCAGAGGGAGAGCTTGCCGAGAGATCTGGTAACCTCACCACCTGCAGATATTCTCCAGGCTTGCAGTGCTCTGCGCCCACTCAGTTTACTCCACTCATCGCTCATCTCCGGGCTGCTCTGCCAAAGAGTACATCACGCTTGCCAGGGCCGGCAGACCCCATCCAACCCGCATGTGATGGCAGCCCACTTCGGCGCTCCATCTCCAGACCTCCCACGAGAAGGTGAGAGAGGCTCCTGCCCAGCTACCCAGCCCCTGCCACGCTGCTAACGCAGCGATATCCTCTCAGCCCACAGCAGAGGACCAGGAGGACTTCAGCAGCACCGGCCCAGCCGGGGGCCGCTCCTGGCCAGCAGCCGAGAGCACCAGCCAAGCAGCCTCCCGGGAGGACAGATCTTAGCGGGCTTCCTGGCACAGCCCCACCGAGGGCTGCCACTGGGGCAGTGTTTATCATCTCCAAGCCAAACACTAAACAGACAACAGCATCTGCATGTTTATCCCATTACAGAACAGCTCTGCGAACAAGCCAAGCACATTTTGACTCTGCTTAGAGAAACAGAAACCTCCACAAACGCTTGGGGAGGGGGGATTGCAAACCTAACTTGTCTGTTTTGTTTTGATACCAGTGAGTCACTATCTCCAGGAGAGAGGCCAGATTTGCAATCCTGCAGAGACAACTACTTCAGGCAGACACAAGAATTCACACGCTCTACTTGAACGCGCTAGCTCCTCTTCCTCTCATCCCAAGTGCTGCTGTGCAAGGGAAAAGTCTACCAAGATCAGACCCCACTCACTTGCTTTTAAGACCTTCATAGCAACAGGATTGGCTTCTCCCCCTACTCAGATGCACAGCACAAGGGCTGCTTCCTTTTCTAACTTAGCAAGAGATTGGGAAAGAGCTGCTGTACAGAGGCATTCTGACACAGAAAGAACATAGCAGCATCCAGAGAAACCACCATAAGCTTTACACAGCCTCGGGCCTCCTCAGATCTTCCTGGGAGGAGGACAAAGTCCCTCCATCCACCACTGCCCGATGGCTGACAGCCACCACGTCCTATGGCATGGCCCCAGGTGGGATCAGGCCAGCAGCGTGGCTGAGTTACACCCAGGGAGAGAGCTCCTGACAACTTAAAGTACTGAAGTAACTCAGAGAGAAGGAAAATAATTCAAGAGGAAATAATTTTTCCTGCTCCCTCTCCAGCCCCCAAACCAGGAGCTGCCTGCGGCTCAGTACGAGTGTGATGACTCAGCTCCCGCACAACCCATCTGCCACTCCGCTGGGTCCATTTGCATCATGCAGCACTGCATGACAAGAGGGGGAAACAAGAGCCACGTGCACCGAGCACGTTGTAACAATCACACTCCATTGCTGCCTGTGCACTGCGGAAGCACCACCAGCGTATCAGGACTGGGACCGGTATCTCAGCTGTGTCACAACACAGCAAAGGTATGACTGTCACCTGCAAGGGAGTGGAGACAGGGGTCAGGGGGGGAAAGAGACCCCCTCCATCTCTTGGGAGATTTGGCCTCTCCCCACAGGGCCTGCAGAGAAAAACTTGCAGGCACAACTTCTACCACTGCAGCCTGCACAGGTTTTCCTGGGATGCTCAAGGAAGACACAGGTTCCCAACACGTGTGTGCATGTGCTTCTCATGCCCAGACCTGGTAAGCAGGAGCCGAAGCCTGTCTATAGAGGGCTTGAGTGCCGTCTTTGGCTCAAAATGTCCAGGAAAGAGGAAGCAGAGCAGAATTAGCAGTTCCAAAAGAAAAGCAGCTCACAGCATCCTTAAGGTCAATGCGGACTGTCCCCCTTCACCATCCTTCCCCCCCAAAATATGCAAACACCTTGTCAACTTCTTTGACTAAATATTCTTGAGTCTTCAGGGGTAAACATACCAATTAAGCAGTTCAATTTAGGCATGATGTTCATTTTAATTGTGCTAATCCACCCCCACAGGGAAAGATGAAGCAGCTTCCAACGCTCTGTATCTGTTTGGATCTTGCACAGAAGCCAGAGGAAGTTGCAGGATACAGTAAGTCAGTGGTTAGCATATGCCCAAGTAGCAGATGGTGAGGATGAGCTAAGAAGAGTTTGACTGGGAGGACAGGACTGTGGACACAGCTAAGCCTAATGGTTTATCTTCAGGCTTCTCGTGGTCTCTGCTGTAGGCTACTAACAAGGGAAGAAACAGCCTGTTTGGCAAAAATAGAGCTCCCTCGACGACAAGCTCTTCCTTGCTGACTGTGGCTGTTGAGGGGTAATCGCCAGTTTGCAAGAGGGAAGATGCTGAAGTGGTTAAATAGCCATCGGCAAGATGGCTACCTGCTGCTGCCAGCTTCAAATGCACACTGGGGGGAAACAAACCTACCCCAGGATGTCCTTCACCTACAACCCTGCCAGAACGGACGAGTCTCGACAGTTTTATAGTGGGACCCCATGGCACAGCTATCAGAATAGCTGCTCCTGCCACCCAGAGCTGAATCTTCACATATAATCACGCAAGAAGAGAGCAGCACAGAGCCAACTGTTAAGAGATGCGTCCCCCTCCACCCACCTTAGCAGACCAAGGCTATAAAGACAAAAACGCAGAGCCTCTCCGGCTCCTGCCTGTCAATAGTGAAAGGACGCGTTGACAAAGAGCCTCCTTGCAAGGACACGTGAGGCTCTGCCCCCGGCTTCCCTTCCTCCCTTGCAGATAATAGCTGCCATCTCAAAAACACTGCTTTCAGGGCACTTTCTGAAGGGCTCTCCAGCTCACAGTCAATGCAGAAGGTCTCCGTACAACGTGCCTAAGGATGCTCTCAGGAAGGGATTTGCTTCCCTACGAGTTCAGCCACCTAAGTCTAAGTCCAGTCTGAGTTCACGGTCCTTCTCTCAAGAGAGGTCTAAACAAACCCTCACAGGAGAGCCAAGACCAAGCTGTCTGTGACCCTGCACACAAAGCCCCCTCCAGAGGGGCAAGGCATGAATGGACTGAAACAGTTGGTATCAAATAGGTTACCCCTACCCTCCTCTGGTATGGCTGGGTGAGAAGAATTAGGCTATGCTTGTTTCCAAGCAGAAAGAAAGATCTTCCTCTCCGAGGGACTGAGATACACCATACTACATGCTACTGGTGTTTCAAGATCAATAGCAGCATTTAAGGGCTCAACAACTGTCTTGCGTCTCCCATCCCTTGGCACTGAGCTGAACGCGGTATCACCTACCTTCTGGCTGACAGGCACAGGGAGATCCTCCTCTTCACTGCCTGAGGAGTCAGAGCTCTCCACTGGCTTCATACTTTCAGCAGGCTTCGTGGGAGCAGCAGTCCTTCCCTGTGTGGTTTTGGCCTGCTTTGGCACTGCTGGTTTTGGTGCTGGCTTCCCTTGGGACAGCGGAAGTGTTTTTGCTGGAGCTGCTTTGCTGGAGAGTGGTGCTGCTGGTGTAGGTTTCACTGGGGATGGGATAGCCTGGGAGGATTTTGGAAGTGGCTTTGTCTGGACAAGACAAGAACAGTGTGAAACAAGGCAAATCCCACAGCAGCATAATTCAGTTGCTCAGACTGTAATCAAGGGAAGAGACTTCAGAGCCCCCCAGGAAAGGCAAATGCTGAAGGAAGATTAGCATCTGGCAGGACACAAGACATCCTTTCATCTAGCTGTGTGGGGATACTTTCCCAAGATGAGAAAGCAAAACCTTCTTCATCAGCCTACTGATACTACCAGTCCCCTCCAGTGAGGTACACTGCAGTACTTTGCACTCTCCACAGCAGGGAAACTAAGCTGCACTACAGTTCAACAAATTAGACGGTATTTATTGCAATTTATAGCTGAGAGGCAAATTCAACCATGACAATTTGCCTCTTCAGGTGGGAAAAGAATTGCTGGAGTTTTTTTTGTATTTAAAAGTACTGATGGATTTTTTTTTTAAGAAAGGCACAATAGCTTGATTAAAGCTCCGAGCAAAGACATTGATGTGCCTTTAAGCACCCCATGCCTCTTTCCTCCCACCCCCAACATGACTTTGCTATACACTACATGCATTTACAAAATTTTCTTTTCACTGCAGTTCCTAGCCCTAGAGAGGCGTGCAAGGAGAAACAGATTCTCGAATAGACGCACTTGGGTTACTGATGGAGGTTCCTCATCTTCGCTGTCTGATGAGTCGCTGCTCTCTGATGTGTCATCGGGCTTTGCAGCTGCAGGAACCGTTGTGGATGTGGGTTTGGCCTGGTTTGGTGCCAGGGCCGTTTGCCTCGCTGCACTCTTCTTGAGGGACACTGGAGCAGCAGGTGCACTTTTCACAGGTGCTGCATTAACTTGCACTGTTTTCACAGCTGGTTTTGCCTGGGAACAGGGGGAAAAAAGGGAACAGGAGAATCAGGTAACATCTCAGAAGAAACTGGTTGAGAGCTGTAACTGTGTGGAATCTGTTTTAAAGAAGGCTACCTTGCTCACTTTGACCAGGATAGGCTTGTTCAGACCCATGGGCTCTGCAGTATCTGAAGCAAGCCACTTTCTCCACGGACTGCCTGCCTACATCCATGGAGTGGCACACAATCACCTCCTACAGATCAAAGCATCTCCCTCAACTTCAGGCACTAGGAGGAACTGGGATGGAATGGTTGATGCTGGCAGGGGTTAGTGGGGCTCACAGCGTCTTTCTCTGGCCTTGGGTTTGGGAATCTCACACACCCAGGGAAGGGGGTGTTGTCAGATGACAACACTGCAGCATTTCCTCTCTCCTTCAAAACAAGGGAAGTGATTTCCTAGAGACAAGCATCCCAAGTTGGAGAGGTTACCTGGGCCACTGGAGTTGCAAGCTCCTCCTCAGAGGATGTCTCATCACTTGATTCCTCACTGCTGCTCTCAGCGGCCCCAGCTGCCTGCTTCGGCTCTGAAACACAAGCAAGGAGATGTCACAGCTGCTGCCTGCTCCAAGCTCCCAGAGCATGATGCTAATGCGGCTTTTGAAGTCAGGAAAACAAAACAAGCTGCAGAGAGGGCTAAGGGGATTTGCAGGGAAGAGGACCTAGCCCTGCTGAAAGCATCCATGGCCTGCTGGGAACAGCTTCTCCAGACAAACGCTGGCCCACAAACACCACTCCCCCGAGTGCAGGCAGAGATGGGAAATCCTTCCTGGGCACCCTCTGACCCTGTGGGGAGCTGCCCAGCCACACACAGCTCTCTGCAGGGGCACCCAGCCTGGCCGGACCTCCTCTGGAAAAGAGCCAAGAGAAGGACCATTTTCAGAGCTTCTATGATCTATTCCTCACCCCCCCCCCCGCAACACACACACTTCAAAGCAGTAAAAGACTTCCCTAAAGACTTCAAAACCCCAAAACAACCACTTTGCAATTGCGAATAGCAGTAAAAGACTTCCCTAAAGACTTCAAAACCCCAAAACAACCACTTTGCAATTGCGAATAAAGAGATGCTGCAGTGCCTTTCCAAAAAGCTGAAAGCATCTGCAGTATTAGTACTGCATCTCCTCCAGATAAGCTACGCTGTTATCTCCAACCCCGTAGTGCTGGGTGCTGCCAGACAGACATCTTAGCACAGAATCTGCCGCTTGAAATGGGAGCAAGCATGCTGGATTCATCCCACAGAGCTCCGGAGCTGGCTGCTTTGCAGTGTTCTCACAGCCTCCCCAAGGAACGAGCATTGCTCTGAGCTTTCCAGCAAGGGAGCTGAAAGGAACACGCTGAAGGCACGGCTCAGACCTGATTCGCAGCAGAGCTGGAGGACACGTGCAACTACCGTACCCCGCAGGCTCCTTACCCACTTTGGGGGCTGGAGCCTTCGCAGTCGGCGTCTCTTTTTCCTCCTCACTCTCTGATGAGGAGCTGCTGCTGGAACTTTCCGGTGCTTTGGTTGTTACTGGTGCTTTGCTTTGACCTACTTTGGCCACAGCTGTTGCAGCATGTGCAGGCTTCTCAGGACCGGGCAGTTTCTGCCCAGCCTTGGCCGGAGCTGCAGATGCAGCTGGTGCATTGGGCTGCTGCTTATTTGAGACCACAGTTCTGTTCGCAGCAGAGAGCGCCGCTGCTTTGCCTGCCGGGGCATTGGCTTTGTTAGGAGAATGCAGGGAGTTGGTAGCTTTGCCACTCGCCACAGCTGGTGTCACCTACAGGAAACAAAAGAAATTAGAAGCCTATAGACAGATGAGGGGCTAAACTGGAAACAATATACCTTAAACAGCAAACTGGCAGCCAGGCAAGCCACAGAGCTCTTTAGAGAAGCACTTGGGGGACAGATACCTAAGAGAAGGCTTATGCCAGCATAGGAGGGTCATTTAAATATGAATTCCACCCCAGCCCACAATTCTACACATGCCAACAAGTCTGGGACAGTCCTGGCCCCAGAGTACTATCAGCCTTCAAAGCCAAGAGAAGAATTGCCTTACCGTAATTGCACCTTTTCCAGCTGACGTCTCCTCTTCTGATGAGGAGTCATCATCTTCACTGCTTTCTACATTCACTCCTGAGTTCGTGGCCAGGGAAAGGCTGGCTGCTGCTCAGGAGAGAGCCACAGAGCAATCGTGTGAGCGTGTCTCTCGCATCGAGATGGCCTCTGGTTTGCAGGAAGGCCCCAGCAGACAGGACAGGGTCCCATCCGCAACACCACCGCCACTGTCCTTGTGGCAGGCAAGTGCTTTGCTCCTCCACCCCATCCTTCTCTCCACCACCAAGAGAAGGAACCCGCCAAGATCTGCATGTTTCCAAGGGCTGGTCTACAGCAGACGAGACTAAGCCAAAATGTATCAGACACATGGGGTTTTGTTAGACTACGCAAGCCAATGCCTCCCACGTCCGCTGCACCAGGGATCTATCCCCACCTCAGACAGAGGGCAGTGGCTTTCCAGACCAGCTAGCAAGTCCTTCCTTCATCCATGAAACAGGCCTGTCTTTGCTGGCCCAGCAGACACCTGGGACCAACTAGAAGGTGCTCCACACTGGGCAGCGTTAGGTTCCCAAGGCTTCATCCAAGCGACAACACCCATCCCTTCCCAATGAATCATAACAGGTTTTTTCTAGCTTTAGCAGACATCTGTGCTCCTCAGAAACTCCACATGAGAAGGGGGTGCTAAATTAGTTGTCCTATATTTCTAAGAGCACAAGGGAGTAGCCATCACTTTAAAAGCATTTTCTCTAGCCAAGGAAGTCGGGCTGCTCCTACACAAGCCTCCAGTCCCACTCTGTCAACTCCAAGGAGACGAAAGGCTCCTACCGTTTGCAGCTTTCGCCTTCTCTTTCTCATCCTCTTCCTTCTCTGAGCTCTCAGAGCTGCTCACAGGATCAGGAACTCTGATCTTTTCTGGGATGGCTGCCTCCTCATCACTCACCTTTCTTCTCCTGGAATTCGAGGGAGTTCTGAGGGAAGAGAATTTGCATCAGAATAGGGAAAAAAATATCTTCAACAAATTGGAATATAATTATTCATCCACTCTCAGGTCAGGCTCCAGCCTAAGGACACACAGTGTCATTCCTCTACAGCTCCTAAGGGGGTGGGAGAAATACTTCTCTAACCTGCAAGGGACATCTCCAGTCCTCCTCAGGCAACTCCTGAGAATAACACATCCCTGCAATACTCAGAGGAGATACTGAACTTTTTTTCTGTGTCCTAGGCAAACTCCTCCGCACTGTAGCAGAGAAATAAAAATGTATATGGTCAGGCCAGTGCTCACCACAGAGCAAAGGCATCCTACAGAACAAATTCCAGCTCCAGGAGGCAGCTGTAGCCAGACAGTCAGTAAGTGCAGTCCCAGGGTTAGGGCAGTGATCCCCAAACGGGTCTTGGTATTCCACAAGGCCAGGAGAAGTCAATCTAAAGGCTGCAAAAGCCATTTGAACTTGGGCTCACAGGCCAAAAGGACAGAAAAGTAAGGTTGCAGAGAGATCTAAGAAAGGAAGTGGCTCGACCTACAGAAGATGTGTTGAAAGAAGGGGAGGAAGAGGCCACAGACAAGCATTAAACACTTAAGCTGTTCAATTGGGTTAAAACATTAAGCCGGAGAAACATGTCTCCAAGCTCTGAATCCTACCTGTACCAGCACAGATGATGTGGCTAAAGTTATCTTCAATTTTCAAATTAAAACACAGGTAATACATTTGCTTTATTACAAGGATAACATTGGCTGGGCACGAGTCTGTGTGATTCACGCATGCAATACTTCTAAGCCCTAAGACACACAATTATCAGAGGCAAAACCCTTCACTTTTGTGCCAGTTTAGCTTATTTTATTTGTTCACCTGATTTAAAAATAAGACTAGTTTAACAATTTGGCCAGTAAAGGTTGTGCTTACTATTAGAATGTTTCAGTAGCATAGCTAGAACAGCAAGTTTTTTGCAAGCAGGCTAAGCCGAAGGCACATTTGCTATTACAAAGTCCCATTAACTACTCTAATAATCCTTTTAATAAAATAACAGAGCAAGCCACATGGCAGCTATGATACCGCAATGCCTTCCTGATTCAGTGGCAGCTGATAGCTCCACAGAGGCTACTGTGAGAATCTGTCGTGAGTGATGGGGCCTCAGGGATACCGCCCAGGGGAAAACAGCAGTACCCGCAGGTTCTGGCCCTACAGCAGCCCGGAGAGTTTGAGGGCTGCAGGACTCCAGCTGTGCTGGTCCAGCTTCCCCCTGCACCCAAGCAGCCTTCTGCCCCTTCCCAGCCTCCTCTGAGACTAAATGTAGCCGTGGAGGGAGGCCACTTTTAAGTAACTGCAAATCTCAACTGTTAGGTTCACTTTGTAAGAGTTTTTGAAGGAGAGCACCAAGGACGGCCTCAGTTAGACAGGCAAGAGCCACAGCGCAGGTGGAGGAAAGGCATTTTCAGGCCAAAAGCCCATGAAGCGACAAGATGTGAGAGTCACAGCTCACCCACACCAGAGCGCTCCAGCTAGGCAGGGCACCTTCCGAATAAACAACACTACTGGTCAATACATCCCTTGCTGTGACTCCAAACCAGGCATAACTGAGGGGGACCGGGAATAAAAGGCATAGTTGTGTGGTGGGACCACAACAGAAGGGTGACACTACAGAAAAAGGAATTAAATGTGATGTGAGTGCCTCATTGCGCCCCAAGCTTTAAAAGCAACAGTGTCTGGAAGGGTTTGCTGTAGCACCCAGGATAACTAGCACAGAGAAAGGTCACCGTTCATACCTGAGAGCAATAAGTTGCCAGAGGGAGGAACTGTAAGCCTGTTTCTACACTGCTACATCCTCACCTAGATCTAGTCTTTCTCCTGCTCAAGTAAGAAAATCATGGAGACACAAGAGCGAGGACCAGGGTAGTGCCAAGGCACAAGGTGTTCTAGCAGAAGACACCTTTGAAGCAAACACCTGCTTCCCAAGGCTGCTGGCACGGCCATGCTGAGGAGCATCTTCACTCCGGTGCTCCTCACCATGGGCACAGAAGCCCAGCTCCACTGATTCCCTGATAACCCGGCGCTGTGGCTGCCACCAGGCCTCTCTCTGCAGCACCGCGCTTCAGCATCAAACCAACGCGAACGGTGCACAGGGTCGGTGCAAACGTCACGGCACCCCACAGATGGGAAGCCTCCCTGCTGCAGACCTTCACATAGGGTACTTGGTGCAATAACTACGCAGGAAGGCATTGGGCTGAACATGTACGGGCTTGAAAGGACAGGCTGAAATCAAGAGACTTCCTCCGAGTCAGAAGATACATGATCTATGCCAAGGTTTAAGTTCCTGTAAGAGCTTTGGCATTTCAGCATCTGCTCAAATTCTCTGTTCTTGGGTCAACATTCCTGCAAAGCACATGGCTTTAAAAAGAAAGTGAAACAGAACTGGAGGAAAGATTTTTGCCAGCAAAGCATGACTCTGAGCCCAATACTCCAGTATTAACCCCAACCGGCAAGAACAGCATCAGCTCAAAACTAGAGTAACAACTTATCTCCGAGCTCAGGAAATCTTAAACCAAAGTAACCTTTAACATCCGAAACGAATCGATCTGAAACCAGAGTCTAAGAGGAAAATCTGCTGAGCACAGTTATCATCGGAAATACTCTGACAGCGGGAAATTCCAGCAAATAAAGATCACACGTGCCATGCAGCCTGGATGCTAACGCAGTCTGGAATCTATTTGGGAGTTATTTCCTCCTTCGACTTACTTTTCCCAGTGGGTAAAGATGTCCTCGAGAGAGGTCGAGAGGGAAGGGAGCAATTTCTGTGAAAGCAGAGGGAACACGAGTCAGGCATCGGCCCCGCTGCTGGATGCGACCACCAGGCAGAACTGGAGACCGCAGAGGCCCCTCCGGGAATCCCCAGGAAAACGGGACCGTGTACCCCCGCACACACGCTCCCGGTAAATCCCTCCCCCATCCCGCCGCACCCAGAGCCGCGTCCCCCCCTCGGCGCGGCTT